TCTTCTTCTTCTCATCATCTTTTTCATGTTGAGTTCATACAGTTGGTTAATTGGCAAGCCAAGTATGAAAGTTGATAAATCAAAATTAATGGGATTAGTTAAGTGAGAGAAAAATTTACAATGTATTAAATGGAAAGACAAGAAAATGATGAAGAGCGATGATGATAAGATGAAAAGTGCTTTCAATTGGAGTTATTTTTATCAGATGATTTCATAATGATATTGATGGCAATCGCCATGTTAACTAATTTTCTCCATTTTGTCAAGCATCCATTAGAAAAAAAGTGAATCAATTAACTCCATTAGAGTGAAACCCTTAAACTGACCATGTTTGGTCACTTTTTTTGCTTAAAAATTGAGAAACTCTTAAGTCTCTTTTTTGACCCTACAATTTGACCGAGCTATTTTTAGCTTTCCATTTCTCAGATTTTCGCGTTATTTCAGAATCGCCTTTAAAGTTTTGAAGAAACAAAGTCCGCAAAAAGAAACGTTTTGCTCATCTAAATGACCCAAAACTTTCAAACAATGAAACGGAACTAACAAGTTAACTTTGCTCTTTTGACTTTTACAAAACGTTCACAGTTTGGTTCCTGTTGTTTTGTTTTTATCACTCAATTGTCATTCTGTAACATTGAACATAAATAAGGAGTAAAGATGAGAAGAGATTTAATTTTTGATAAACTTTGGCGAAACTCTGTGTTCTGAGAGCAAAACGTTTAACCCTTTTCCTCTGCTTCTCATTGCTAATTGATGCTAAGCCAAGAGTTTTGTCCATCGTTTAGACGCTTAGTGTTGGCCAAAAAATGTTACCGGACCCAAAAGGGCAATAAAACTGGACTATTACCCCATGTGTCTGGGATTCTGTTTTTTTTTTCGCCACTCTTTTCCTTCTAACCTCAAAGTTGAATCAAACTGCGAAACCATTTGAAAAGTGAACATTTGTTTGAGTTTCAAGTTGATAAATAAGCTCATTGTTCTTGCAAGTTGTGTCTTATTTCGTCTTCATTTCTCATCCTTTTCTTTGTTTAGTTGTTACTGATTGAATCGATTCCAATTGAGATAATTTTGTTTTCCCTTTTTTCCCTTTAATCATTTCAATCTTTATAAGAATCATCATCTGTTTTTTTTCTTTGCTTTTTTTCTCTCTTCTTCTTCTTCATGGAATTCCAGTGAAAAAAAGGATTATTATCACATGATGTGTGTGTATGGAATAATATCAAGTGTTGTTTAATGATGAAAGAGAGTAAAGGAGAAAATTGAAGAGGAGGAGGAAAAAGAAGGACTTTCTTCATTATCATCATTATCATCATCATAATCATGAAACAGCAACAAGAAGAAGAAGAGAAAAAAGAGAAGAGAAAATGTGTTCTGTGTTGGTTGACAGACTGTAAATGAAAGGTCAGAATGAAAAGTTATAGAAGAAATGATGAAAATGATGATGCAAAAGGGGAAGATGATGATGATGAAGAGGATAGAGAATGGAATCCTACCAAAATAACCGATAAAATTGAGTTTCATCCAAGTGTGAAAATCTGTAGCGTGTAGATATGATATAAAGAAGGTGAGTGAGGTTAAGAATGAAAAAAGCAGCGAAAAAAAGGGAAAAAACTTTTACATGTTTTGTATAGATCTTTGTATTGATCCAAATATATTTTGTTTTGTTTTGTTTTTTTTTCTCTCGTCTTTTCTCTTCTTCGTCATCTTTATCATCATCGAGATACCTTTTCTTCCAATTCTGTTTTTCATTCCTTTCCAATGAAAATTGCTGATCGACATGACAAAAAAATAACAGAGAAAAGAAGAGAAAGCTTGTCGATTTTCCTATCTTTCACATTCATTCACCTTTTTTTCCTCTTGTTCATCATTTCTCATCTTCGTCTTTATCTTCATCAAAAAGCTTTATCTTTTGGCTGTTGCGTTCCTTTTCATCGAAAGGAATGTTCATTTTCCTTCTCTTTTTCCTCGTTCATTCCTCTCTCCCCTTTTTCCTATTGTTGATTGTTGATGCTGTTTGAGCTTTACTTTTGACTCTCTTCTTCTTCTTCTTCTTTTTCGTCTTCACCTTTTCTTCTTTGAACAATTCTTTGAGCAAAAATTCTGTTCCAATCAAATGTTTCCATGTTGCTTCTGTTGTTGTTAAAGTTCACCAGACTGATGAGATGAAGATGAGAAGGTTGGAAGAAGGGAAAAGATGAATTACTGTTTGGATGAAAAATGATTGCCTCTTGTTTAACATGAGCAAATTAAAAGGAAAGGTAACATTGAAAGGTAACTATTGACCAAAAGAGTTGCAGTTTCATGAAGAGATTGAACAAATTGTCGAGTAAAGTCGCTTGAAAAGTTTACAGAAGAGAATGAAAATTGGAAGAGAAAAAAAAGAGACTTTATATTTATAGATAATAGTTGAATGGTGAAGATGAATAGACAGATAATTAGGAAGAGGAGGAGAGAAAGAGGATGATGGAAGAGAGAGAGAGAAGAGTGGAAAGATACAGCAAAGATGATGATGAAGAAGAAGAGAATGATGAGAATGATGAAGAAGTAGACAAAAGTGATGAGGAGCTGTTCAAGCTCTTTTAAGTCATTTATATATTAGGCAAACTGAAAGGAAACAAAACAAAAAAATGGAACCAGAGGAAAACAGGAAAACTTTGAATTGATGAAGAGTGGAAAGAAAGAGAGAAAAGTGAGATTGAGAGAGAGAGAGAGAGAGAGAGACTGTCGACTGGGTGAAAGTGAGAGATGAAAAGGAGAAAAGAAGGTTCATGTAAAATGCCTAATTTTGCATGAGAAGGATGGGGAAGATGGTAAAGGAAGATGAAAGAGGAAAGCGAAGTGACAGTTATTTATTATCATGATGTTCATCGAGTCACTTATTTATCCTCTTCTGTGTCTCTCTTTCACCAAGAACAAAGGTAAATTGTAAATAGTAACTTTGGATCCTTTTTTTTGCTTCTTCTTCATCTTCTTCATCTTGCTGTTGTTGCTCATTTTGATGTTGGTGTTGAGAATGAGAAAGATGAAGAAAAGAAGAAGAAGAAGAAGAAGAAGAAGAAGAAGAAAAATGCAATTTATTATTATCAAAAATGCATTTACAGTTGATGTAATGTTGATTGTATATTTAATTTCAAGGTAAATTATTTATCATTCCAATGCTATTAGGTAGTGAAGCAAGATGAATAGAGAAAAGTTGAATGAGCAAAGTTTAATTACAATTAGTGAATTAATTGAGATCATTTAGTCACAGAAAATGTTTTTTTTTCTGTGTTTTCGTTTATTCTTTAACCTTTTCAGTTTGCCTTCTTTACCTTTCGTTGCCTTTTAATATCAATTTAAACATTTTAATTTTGACCATTTGCTTCTTTACCGTTGATTTATAGACAATTAAATGCAACAAACAAATGGGTTTCAACCAATTAAACCTTTACACCTTATTGGGTCAAGACAAATACAAACCTCTCTCTCTCTCTCTTGGGTAATTAATCAGAGTAAAAGTTGTGATCAATTGACAATCCAATTGTTAACCCAATAAATGGCAATAAATAGTAATCAAAGTTTACACTTGTAATCAATAATCAAAGTTGATGGTGAATTAAATATTATTTACATTTTCCTCTTTTCTCTTCTTCTTTCTCTTTTTTAATCAATACCTTTTCACCTCTTTTCACCTTTAATCATTAACTGTTTCCAATCATTTATTGTTGACCTCAAATTGCATTTTTGTGTTAACCCAAAATTATTGTTGCAAAGATGGGAATGAAAAGGTTGAATAAAAGCTGGCAAAAAAAAAGAGACAGAAATTAATTTATCAAAAGAAGTGATAATTAATCAAAAAATTGTTCAATAGTTTCTCATCTTTTGCTGTTCACTGGACAACACCATTGACCAGCGAAAAAGAAAAGAAAGAAAACAAAAGCAAAGAAGAACAGAAGAAAGGTGAAACAGCGTGCAAATGATATTTTCATGGTATCTTAAGTTTACCTGAAGTTTTTATGGTTCCTCAGCCTATTTAACCCCTTTACAGTAACTTTAGACTTGCAAAGGTTCCGGTTGTGTCCTTAATTTTTGAGGTTTTATTAACAGCCGTACAATGTTTCTCTTTTCACATTTCTTCTTCTTCTTCTTCTTTGACAATGTTTATTAATACCTGAAGCTAAATTGTGACTCTTCTTTTTTCTTGCTCCATGTAAATATTCACCTTGATTCACCTTGTTAAGTAGCCATAGCCATTTATTTTTGGCTTAACACAGAAGAACCTTTCAAAGAAAGGAAAGTTTGTTAGCAACAATAAAAGTATTAAAATGTTGCCTCGGCAAAAAGCGTCATTTAGAGTCAAACAGTGATGATAAAAATGATATTTTAATGATGATAGTAAACACATGAATAAAAACATGTTACCTGCAATAAAAAATTTTAAACATAAAACAGCGGGTTATCAGCTGAAGAGGAAAGCATCATGCCAATGTACATCTTTTCAGTGAAAACTTTTCTTTTCGTTCCTTTCCTTGATTCAACAAGGTAAAAGGTAAAAAGTGAAAGAGTAAAGAGAGCAAAGAGAAAAGGGTGAAAAAGTTATGGTCAGTAAAATGTCATAAATTAAACTTTCAAATATTAACTAAGGCTATTCGAATGTGTGTCGTCCTGTTTGAGTTTTACTTTTGACCATTTATTGACCAGCTTTTGGTAAAAAAATTTCTTCTTCTTCTTCTGGTTCAAGCGAAAAATGGTCAACAGAAGTGGTAAAAGATTTTCCTTCTTGACCTTTTTTTTACCTTCTTTTTACCTTATCAACTAATGAGGTAGAAAAACTTTGATCACATTAAGATGATGATAATTGGAAAAATAATGGTCACTCAGTTAATGGTCAATGTGCATCTGGATGAAAGTGAAAAGTTTACATTGAGAAGAAATTATTTTCTCTAAAATTTGGCCTTTTTTCTGGTTCATTATTTATTCGCCTTCTAATGATTTTTTCTTGTCATCTTTTTCTTGTCACTTAGGAGTCAATGCAATGGGTGAAACTAAAAGACAGCGGACATCGTACACTCGATATCAAACCCTGGAACTGGAAAAAGAGTTTCATTATAATCGTTATTTAACCCGTCGTCGGCGTATTGAAATTGCTCATTCACTTTGCCTGAGTGAAAGACAGATCAAGATTTGGTTTCAAAATCGACGAATGAAGTGGAAGAAAGAGCATAAAAGTTCCAGCATGGTTCCTCCTCATATGCCTCAATTAACGTTAGGACCCGAGTCGCATCATCATCTACACCATCTTCACCATCATGGAGAAACAAAAGCATAATATTGATATTATTATTATTATTATAATTATTATTGAATATATGAAAGCAAAGGAGAAACAAAATAAAGGAAGAAAACAGTGAAATGCGAAAAGTGCATCAACGAAACGTTGACCTGTAAGCATCAGCAAAAAGCAACAAAAAACGCAAAGGAGGAAGAAGAAGAAGAAAACGCGAAAAAAAGCAAAAAAACAAAAAAAATTTCTATCCAAATTATAATATAAAAAGATGATATAAAAGCAAAGCGTAAAAGTAACATCAAAATGCAACATAAAATGAGCATCAATGCGAGTACAACCAAGCTAAAGTGCAAATGAGAAGGAGGAGAAAGAAGGAGGAAGATGATGAAGATGGCAAAGGCAAAAAGGAAAAAGCAAAGGAACAAACAAAAAGGACGAGAAAAAAAAGATGAATGAGAAAAGAGGAAGAAAATTATTGATTCTGTAATTATAATAAATATTCTGTAAAATGATGTATAAAAAAGTGGAAACCTCATGAGAAGGATGAGTGAGTCTGAAAAAAAAGAAGGTGAAATATTCCAAGTTAATGAAAAACTAAAAACTTTCAAACTCTTTCTCTCTTCTCTTCTCACACATTCTGCTCACTCAGTTTCACTGGAAATGCAAATCATGTTTTCCTTTTTTTTGCACACTTTTCAAGGTAAATTGTGAGGTGAACACACGAAAGTTGCTTCACCAAATTTAATGTTGAAAAAGTGGGCAAAAAAAAGTCATTGATTTTGAACCAATTGGGTGAAGAGAGGAAACATCCAATGACGAGAGAAGTTCGAACTTGGAATTATTCATTTTACTCTTTTTTTTGTCACTCACCTAACTCTTCACTTCTCTCTCCTCACTCGACTCACTGTTTCTTCCTTTTCCTCATTTCATCTCATTTCGTTTCTCAATGTTGCGATTGTTGTAATAATTGGCTGAAAATATACAAACTCAGCTTAATCCAAATCACGCTATTCTCACTCGAAATCTCCTTCTTACTCTTTTTCTCTCTCTCTCTCTCTCTTCACTCTCTTTCCTTTTCTGTCTTTCTCTCTGTCTTGTATCTGTCTCTATCTTTCTGTGGCTCTAGTTGCTTATAATATTATCATTATCATCATTATGAACGAGCATATTATCATTATCAAAGCAAAAACGGAAAAAAATGAAACTCAGTCAAACTTCCATATACCATGTAATTTACATAGACAACTCTTTTTTTCTCTCTTGTTCATCTCTTTTCAAGTCACTCATCTTTACCTCTTTCCCTATCTTTTTGTGTCATCATCCTTACAAAATCATCATCCATTGACCTGAAAGTTCCAAACAAATTCACCATAAAAAAACATCTTAATGAAAATAAAATGCAAAAATTTGACAAAAATAGATTCAAATTTTAATTAACACTCGGAACAGTTTAGAGACGAATTGGGTAAATCCTTTTCTTTCGGGTCGAAGGATTCATAGGTTTGATTATCAAGCTTCAGAGCATCAAATTTTTTCCAATTAATCATGATTTTTGTTTAAAGCTGTTCAGTTAACAAATTTCTATCAATTAATAGTTGCATGAGCAGAAAATGAAATTTTTGCCTTTTTCGGTCGCGAATAATTGTAAATAAGAATTAAAATCTTATTAACTTTAAATCGAAATTCACAGAATAACCAAATCTGGAAATAACCAACTTCGCAGAACAACATGCAACTGGACATACGTCGTCGGTGAATGAACTACTAATTTGTTTCGCAGATCAATGGATTGGCCTGTCTTTGCATTTTCTCGCCATCCAGCACTAACTTTGGATGAAACCACTTTACCTAAACTCAAAAACTGTCTCAGCATTTTGAGCAATTTCAAATTTAAAGTTTATGCTAATGATTAAATTTTTGAAGAAGCTAATGAGCTGAATCTGCAAATTTTGATTCCAATCCCTTAGCGAGACTTATTGACAATCGCATCTAATAACAAGAGTTAATCCAATGTCGCTCAATGGAAACAACCAGCTAACCAATCAGAAAGATGCCAACGTGATATCAACATTTCATCGCAATTACAGTTAGAATACTAGACTGTGGAATTGTTGCTGAAAATTCAATTTATTGTTTTACTCATTTTTTCTCTTTTATTTTTGTTCTTTTGCAGTTGCTCATGTATTACAATGATCGTTTGGAGATGAAACAATCCAATGATTTTGATAACGGAAAGGGGAAAATGGCACAAAATCTGATGGACCACATGGAAAATGAAAAATTAGTATTTGAGGAGCAAATTTGTTATCATTGAATTTTGTTGTGTTCATATTCTGGTATGATTGATTGGAAATGCTGCCTTTTCTTGATTGACGGACAGATAAAAAGTTGAGCAAATGAGAGTGAAGGAGGGAGGAAAGGAAAGTGAAATAAATAAAGATGTGACACTTTCATTGAATATTGACGAACTTGACAAGTTATCATGAAAACAGATACAGACAACATCATGAAGCTTCCCTTTGTTCAATTGTGACACTTTGTTCACATCATCCAAGTTGATTGATTTTGTTAGACTTGATCTGATTCTGTTTTAACCATTTTTATTCATTTACACTTGGTAACAAATGTTGACACAACAAGATTCACATTCACAGGCAACAAAAATCATCTATAAATTTCTTCTTCTTTTTCTGACAATTCCATGGAATAAATATTTCTAATCATTGCAAATTTCCTGCTCATGATAATACAAAAGTTTAACAGTTTTCACCATTCTCATTGAGCCATCCTTCAATTAATTCATGCACCAAAGAAACTGATTGGAATCAAATCAATTTAAGAAATTGCAATTTCTTGAAATTTTTGCCCATGATTTCAATATACTTAAAATTGTTGAGAATTTCAACTAATTTTGATTTTCTTTTTCAGAGTTTTGAGCATTCGAAATGTACAAAAATGGAAAATTCAATGGACTGAATGGATGATCGAACAATTGATCGCAAGTTTCTTTGGAGGCTTTGAATGTAACCATTGGATATTGAGGCCGTTCTTTGGTTAAAAGGTGTCCAATAGAAATTGGGAAAAGACGATTTCCAAGTTTTCACACGTTGAATAAACCATGATTAAATTGAATTGTAATGATGTTACTAACGATTTTGGAAAACAAATTGATTTTGTTTTTTTACATTTTAGTCTCTAATGCAAACAGTTATACACTGTTATAATATATCGATTAACATTTAAATATTTATAGAGTTATTACATAAAAATGGTCATTTAAACTATCACGATTGACTAAAGTGAATACAATATCCATTAAGCACAATTTGATATTTTATTAACTTTTTTTCTTCTTCTAACCTTTCAAGTTAAATGTTTTGTAATGACGTACCTTTTTTAATATAAAGTGGTTCAACTGACAATTTAAACACAATAATGATTGTTTTTGCAACCAAATTGGTTAAGGAAATTATTTTTTCCACTCAAAATAAATGTTCAGTAACATGGGATATTACAAGATATTACAAGATATTCAGTGCTGGAGAAAAAATGAAATCGCAGTTTTCGCCAAACAACTTAGATTTTTTATTTGTTTATTGATCAAAATTAACATGAACACTTTAAGCAAATTAAACTGTCTCGCTTAAAGACGAGAACGAAAGTTCAAGCGTCAATTTATTGTAATAGCTTAAAAATAACTGGAAAAAAGTTTAATATTCAGATTTTTCATAAAATTTTATCTATAGTCTATGTCAATAAATTATAATAAGTCAGAACTTCAAATTTTTGTGGTTCAATGGAAAGGGTTCTAGGAAAATTGCTGATCAGCCCGAAAGTCATCATTGAACTCAAATCCGAAAAATAGTAATAGGTTGTTCAGAATTCAGGTTGATGAGTGAATGCAGAATCCGTATTGTCATTGCGTTAGGGAAAACCTTTTTGAATTGTTCTGGTTTTTGGTTTATTGTTGGGTTAGGATTATATGTAAACCTGGTTTTTATAGCGAAGAGTAAAGAGTTATATGAGAAAATCTGGTTTTTCAATTGTACAAGTTTAACTTTGAACTCGCTTTTGTCAGAGGCTGGCGTTCAGATGAGTCTTTAAATTGCACAAAGGACTTAACTTTCATGTTGCTATAACCAGCAAAGTACCAACTTTCAACTCGAAAAGTGTCTACGTTGCTTAAAGAAAGGCTTTTCTCATACAGGAAAGGAATCTCATCAGTTTGACAAAAGCTAAAGATTTTAATTTTTGGATTTCTTATTTCGACGATGGCTCTTTTTTCATTAAGGATTTGCAGCTTTCGATGTGATTGTATCTTACTCTACGATCAGTCATAATCGAGAGAACTACTTGTTAATAGAAATAAATAAATTTAAATTGCCGTTAATTGAAAGATACAAAATTTTACTATCGTTATCAAAACTAAGAGTTTCTAGCACAGAGAAGCTTAAGATTCATTATTGAATAAGTGTTCACCTTGCACTGCTTTCAAATTCATTATTAGATTCAATAGTTTTGTCTTAACCATTGAAATCCCAAATCATTTGCTTTGATATTGAAGTTTCTTAGTTACTTGCGAGTTTTAATTGTGTACAAAAGTCGATTTCAAGTTCCATTTAACCCACAGTTGTAGCCTGTTGATCCGATTTTTTATTCTATCGAGTTTCTGAGGTCCTAAGTTTGATCTTTGGCTGTATTTTGATTTGACTATTGATTTAAAGGTTGATTTTCCTTCTTTATAGTTTCAAAGCTATTGCTCATTTATAAGTGACTAAATATTAAAGAATCGGCACGAAATTCGAGACTATGATTATAACAGCAAGACGGCGTTTTTTAGGTTGTATGATTTTTAGGTTCGATTTCAATTGAACTCCCAATTTTAGCTTTGATTGGACTTGAAATGATAAATAAATCGTTTACCCAATTTCATTATATTGAGCTTCTGAATAAATGTGAAATTCAAATATCCTTAAATTTATCAATTACTCCCTGTAATTAACGTTAAGGTACACTAGCTATGAAACGTATAATTGGGTAGCAGTTTGTTAGTAAAACCATAAATAACCATAGACCTTTTGATCAAGCCTGAGCATCTCAATAAATGTCCATGTAACAGTGCAGATGAAATATTTAATGCATTTCTGGTAAAATCCAATACACGTGAATCATGCTAGACCACGAGTCAACATCATGAAATTCATACACGTAGATAAGAGTTGCAGATGCCTCAACTCTGTTTTAATATAGATGTGAACTGATTTATTTTGGTTTCTAGCCATGATTCAGATAATTATATCAATAGATTTTCCTTGATGTAGATCATTCAGAGCTGAACTAACTTGAAACACTCTAACACGATTGTTCACTTCATGACCGATGGTTACCATTGCTTTGAAAACCCTAATTTAGTGTTCAGTTGACTTCGGAAGTCGCTGGTTCCATTTCATACATGAACGTAAAACTTGCCAAGTAGTCAAATTGAAGAAATCAAATCTCTGCAGTGACCAGGGTAACCCACTGACACCGAATGCTTACATGCTTACACTCTGTCCCCATGAGTTCGAAAGGAAATAAATGGTTACCTAAGGTAGAATTGAAGTGATTACCAACTCTAGACAGCGTTGAAAGAGTGTAACAAGTTTCCGATTCTAATTTCGTTAACTAAGTTAATTTTGACTCTGGATATTTGAAATGATTCAAAGATGTTTAATTGCCATCGGTTCGGGTCAAATCTTTCATTTCACTGAAACAGACTTCAATTTATCAAAAGAAGCCAATCATTGGCAGATGCAAATTTCACTGGGCATATAGAGACTGATGAAGTTGTGGGTTTGCCAAGTTAGTCGAGTTGTCAAAGAAAAGAAAAGAGATTAACCAAATAGACTTGTTCCTCTAAGTAACTCTAATTATCGCCTGGGAATACACCATGAAAACGGTGGAATCACCATCGACCATTAAGTTGGCAAAGTTGAAAAGCCATGCCAGTTGCTTCCAAATTTTCCGGTTCAACTAACCTCAACTGCACAGGCCAAGTATAGACAACCGGCTTTTCTGGTCACGAAAAGTTCAAGTTTATCTCTTGAGCCTCGGCAAACCATTGATTATACAATCAAGTGCATTGATTAGTTTTATTGTGAAAACACGGTGTCGGGTTTAATTTAAAATCCAAGCTAAAGATGGAGCTTCTTGTTTCTTTTGTTAACATTTTTTTTCGCAAAAAGTTTAGTGAGACAAAAATGTAACACAAGATGTGAATGGCGAAAGGAAAAAAAGAAAGACCATGATAGACACAAAAGTAGACAGAGGCTCTGAACTTGGTGAATAAAGAGGCAAAGAAAAAGGAGAAGAAGATAACCAGAAAGCGAAAGAGAGAAAAGTAAGGGAAACGAAAGGAAAGAGGAAAATTATGATAATGAGTGAGAATAGGATAAATCCAGTTTACTGAGTCACCTCCATATTAAGAGAGAGAGAGAAAGCGAGTGAAGAGAGTAAAGAGAGAGATTGAGTGAGATTGAGAGGCGCCTTTGAAGTATCTTGTTGGAAGGTCCATTCGTTGATATAACATTATAGTGATAAAGACATGGAATAATGTAAAAATTAAAAATTGTTCAATTAAACGCACTGATTGGGCGAATAAAGTTTCCTGTGATTTCATTCAATCTTGTTTCCTTTCAATCCTTTACCATTCCGATCAACTTGTAACATCAAAGTGCTGGAATCTCAACACCTTTACTTCAACAACATTCAAGTGTGCTTCATAGCTGTGATTAACAGGATCATTTCAACATTCATTGATTAATCCAACATGATAACCATTGACCTGACCATGTCCATCTTTAACCAAAAGGTAAGATTTTGACTTTCATGTTTGTCCGAAAAATCAATGTTTATCAAATTCCAAGATGAAAATCTTGAATAAACATTCGTTTTTTTTCATGATATCCACTTGTACTTTATAGCGCATGAACTTTACAGGCTTGCTTGAAAACTATTGAAAACTTGCTAATGAATTATCGAACAAGAAGAAGAAGAAACAAAAAGAAAGGGAAAATGAAAAGGGAATCGATGAGAGGTGAACATTTAAACTGTTGGTTTAATTGTATCACAATTGAACAATTGTGTCGATATGCTTGAGATGTTTTATGATGAATCAATTTCAGGTTAACCAGAGAACGATTAAAGGTAAAACCAGAAAAAGTCTTTTCAATCAAAATTGTAATTGAATAAACTAATGATGATTTAGCAAAATTGGCGTAAATTGTTGTCTTTAAGGGAAAAGTGCGCTTTTCATGATTACATGAAGTCTTCATTAACTTTCCTTCAATCATAAACAAACAGTTAAACTTGAAATGTAAACTTTTTATAGGTTTACTTTAGGTATAACCTTTACAGGGCGTAAAAAAAGGGGAAAACACTTTTTTTTGGGTTCCTTTTAGTGCATTAAACCTCATTTAGCTTTATTTATGTTTTGGTTTTTCATTAAAAATTTTCATTTAATCTCATCATGCTTTTTACACCTTTTACTTGAATTGTTTACTGTTTATCGTTATCGCAACGCCATTCATCATTCTTGTTTTGCCGATGTTTTTCAACGATTTAAGGAAATCTTTTTAATGAACTTTTGCTGAAATTAAATTAAATTGAAAAACCTTTTTGGTTCAACTTTTCACCAATTTCAGGGTTAAGAATGATTTTTCAATTTTTACTCATTTCTCAATGTAACACTTGTAGATGTGACATTTGATTGTCAATCAATGTTTTTTTATTGATGTAAAGCTCATCAACTCGTCAATGAATTCATTGGTATCAAAATGGCGCAAGTTTCATTTCTTTCCCTTTTTCTGGTTCTCTTTTATAGTAAATCGATTAGTTTCTCCAGGATTTTCATCTTTTCTCCTCTTTCTCTCTCTCTCGCTTTCTCTTCATCTTCATCTCTCTTCTTTCCTTACTCTCTCGATCGATCTTTACCATCATTTAACCAGACAGACTTAAAAAACTCACAAATCTTCAAAGTAAAGATCAATTTCCTTCTTCGCCCAAATTGTCTTTCACCCATCATCTCTGTTCACTTTTATCCATCTTATGTAGTCTCATCATCTTTATCATTATCATCATCTTTTGTCTCTTTCCTTTCAGTTTAAACAAAGTTTGATTTGTACGGCAAACAAGGCAAGATGAAAACTCATCAACTGAACACAAAAAAAACATAAACATATTGAGCCCATGCAATACACACAAGAAAAGACAATTTTCTTGCTTTTCATTTGCTCCATTCACTTCTCTATCTTTCTCTTTCTTTCTCCTACATGATTTATGTTTTCACGCAACTGATTATTTGACTTGAGCTAAGGCAACAAAAAGGAAAATGCAAGAAAATGGAAAATAGGAAAATAGCATTTTCTCACTTACTTTTGTATCTCTCGCTTCTCTTCTTGTCGCCATGAAAATCATTTAACCAAATTTACGCGTTTAAATAAACAAAAGCTCATTAACAAAGAGGTAACATGTGAACCTGATAATAATAATTGCATAAAGTTAGGTTGGGTTGGGTTAGGCTTGGTTCATCTCTTGAGACAGGTTAGTTGGGTTACAGCAATGAAAAGCGTCAACTCGAACCAAATTTTCAATGTTAACCAAAATCAACCGGCAAAGCTGCTACAAAGTTTCCATTTAAGACCATTTAGTCCACCTTTATGGACCAGTTTCATCTGTTTCCTTCTATAGTCAATTGTACTCGTTTCCACTTCTTTCCTTCAACTTTGTCCACAAATGCATCTTTGGCTAACATTAAAACACAAAAGTAAACTTGGGACATCCAGAGCATCGATGACTTTCAGCTAAAGTTGGATAAATGTCTATGATTACTTCAAAGTTGACGATTTCGGGACAAACTGGTTCAGTCCTGGTTACAGAAAATGGTCAAAATCTAAATTCGTAATGTTACTTCGATCGATATAGACTCATTTTTCAAAACTAACTAGTTGATTGAACGTCATAATTGATTAATCAAAGTCAACAAGTGATCTTATCAAAGATTAATTCAGATTCCAATTTTCATTCACATTCTTTTATCGAATCCATGAAAAATGTATTTCAATCTATACTTGAAGATGAATTTTTCGCCCAACTTTGATTCTATTCCAATGAAAATCAAAAAGATGACAAAGCTGCTCAGTTTGAGAAGGACAAGAGAACCAATGAAAATGATGTTTCAAAAGATTTCGAAATTTTATGAGTTTTTACTTTTCAAAAGTACTGATGCATTCATCAAATTTACTGAAATCGATTTTGAATTTCAAATTGAAAGACTAAAGGAGCAATCAATAACTTAAATGATCCAGAAACGAAACAAATGCATCTTTACCAGTTTTTAGTTTTGGTCCAATCTCTTTGCGCACTCTCTAGGATTCCCAAGTTTTTTGAGATAAAATGTTTTGTTTTACCAAATGTAGAGTTAAACATTTCAATCAAATGGTTCATGGTTTGGACAATCCTTGAGATGATCGAAAAAGAGCGAAAACTTTGTCAACCAAGAAAACAATTTACACCAAAAACTTGTTCAACATGAACAATGTTAAAGCAAATATAGTGCCGATAAATTGTAAAGGAGCAATTATCAAAGACATTAGTTAGTGACAAGTTTTCAAGTTTGCTGAGTTGACGCCAAATTCATTTGTCAGTCTTTGCTCAATTCAACTCCCTTTGAAGAGAAAAATGAACCCAAACTCTAATTATTCTTTACCATGTTAATCAAAGAGAATTCATTATTCTTCTTAAATACATGTTGTCCCCATTCATTATCGTAATGATGATAATGTCTTATTTTTCCTTCTCCTCAGCATTTACTCAATACCCAGTCGATAGTTAATTATCATGCCCAAACAACATATCTCATTAGGCGAGAAATGATTCAAATCTCAAGATTCATTTTGCTCAACATTTTTCATGAAAGACTACAAGAGACAGTAACACCAAATGTTCCACCTTTAACATGAAATTTGGTGCAAAGAATAAAGTAAATGAAAAAGTGTGAAATTTCCCTTTAAACAGCTCGACATTCCCAGGTAATGAGCGAGCAAACCCTTTAATTAAATGAACATTTCAATCCCACAATTGAACCAATTTATCAACCTTCACAATCTCGCAATTCATTTCAACTTTTACTTTTCATTTCAACTTTTTTTCCCTCAAAATGATAATATTTATCATGAAACAAGTTCAACTCTCATTACAGGTTCATTAATTTGCTTATCAAAAGTTTACCTTCATTTGTTGCCAATCATTGAACTGAATGTTTTAATTATCTAATTTACTTTCATTTGGATAACCAATTCTGTTGGAATGAACAGAGCAACTTTTGCGTATAAAAAACCTTGAGTTTTTCAGATTTTAATAATTCATTAAGATTTTCTCTTTTGATAACAATTTCTCTTTTTGCTCTTTTCCATGATTATTAATTATTTTTACATTATATTCTGAATGAATAAATAAAAGTCTGATAAAGCAAAAAGCCAAAACAAAAGGATGGCAAAAAGGATGAGAAAAGTTTATCTGATTAAAAATACTATTCGTAGGTTTGTTGGCTTTCAATAAAATTCATTAATCCTAAAAGATGAGTGAACCTTAAAGTACAAAAATGAAACAATTTTGTTTGTTGGCCTGAAACTTTGCCCATTTTCCCCTGTTAGACTCATGCTTGGAATGAAAAAGAGAAAATATTTCATGTTCGAAAAATGCATATTTTCTTTCACTTTTTTTCCAAGTCACTTGTAATTTCCATCCTCTAATTGGCTCAAAATTCCTAGGCCAAAATGAAGAGTCTCTTAAGCTCCACCTTGAATGTAAATAGCTTGGATAATTGGATTTCAAGAGTAAAAAGGAAGATGAGGAGAGATGATTAAGATGATAGGATGATAATGAAGATGGAAAAGGACAAAGCTGGACAATGATTATCACAAAAACAGTGAATTAATGAGAAGAGAGCAAACTATTCAAAATTGAAAAGTTTATCTTCTCCTGCTTCTTCCTCTTGATCATCTTTTCCCATCCATTAACCACTCCTTAAAAAGCGTGGAAGCGGCAAAATAAGAAGCCGAAGAGAGAGAAAAAAGAAGAACAAGAAAGAGAAGCAAACATGGCTACCCTTCAATTGGGGAGGGTTTTGATTCCCTTTTTTACCTGAACTAGGTAAATGAGCATGAGCAAGGTAACTGATGCTTTTGGAGAAGAAAGAAAAGTTGGAAAAAAAAGTTCGAAAGTGGAAAACTTTTAATTTCTTTTTGTTTCTCTAAACAAGATTGAAATGAAATCTGAAAATTGGTTCTCATCAAGTGAGAGAGAGAGAGAAGACTTCAGTTTTACCTTTTTTCCAGGTTCAACTTGACATTCAAGGAAAGGTAAAATTGGATGGCCATGTTGAGCATAGCCAGAGGTTGTTAATCATTATTTTCATCTTGACTTAATAATCTGAGGTAACAAAGAACTTTTCTCTTTCAGAATTCTTTTTTTGCCTTCTTTTTGCTCTCTCAAACACTCACACATACTTGATTATTATTATTATAGGTTGAGCTCATTTTCATCTTCATCCCATTCTCTTGCCTTTGCTGTTCATGATCATGAACAAATAATTATTATCAAACAGGTTCCCCCTCCTATTACCTAAACACTTATCCCAGCAGCTATTTTGTATTCAATCGAAGATGATGATGACGATGATGATTGGGCTTAGGGAATAGAAGAAAAAAGAAATTCAAGTTTTCACTTTGGTGTCGAGGGTTAAATGCTGGGTGCAACTTATCAAACATGATCAGTACGAAGTTGACTCAAGCTCAATATTTAGTCACATTT